ATTTTAAGTAATATGCATCAATATACAGTACTTTATGCATAACAAAAATATATCGATATTCGTATCAAATTAACTATTTAAAATTCCTCATTTTTTGTGTAATTTTTTAATTYAATTTTTTTATTATAATTTAATTTACGTACAATAACGAAACAATTTATATTTGGTTTAATAATATAATTTTCTTATAAAGATAATAATTAATTGTTTTGTTGGAACTCGATAATTATCCTAATTATATTTTAGATTTTTTAGATTTTAAAATAAGATGTTTATCCTCATTTGATTATGTTTATCCGTAATTAGTTATACGAAATAAAAAATCGAGCCTTAATAAGTTGTACTTTTGCATAATTTACTTRTAATCTTGAATTTTAAGTAAATATTGGTTTTATGTGGTTTTGAGAAAGTGATAATGTTTTTATGTTTGAATAAAATATAAATTTAAAAATATCATAAAATTTTAAAAAAAAAATATCGGTATCAATATTAAATTAATTTTTTTTAAAGTTCTTGTGTTTTGGTGTAATTTTCTTAATTAATTTTTTTAATTATAATTTGATTTAGGTTTAATAATATAATTTTTTATAAAGAAAATAACTAAGTATTTTGTTAGTTATCAATGATTATCTTAATTATATTTTAGATTTTTTTATATTTAAAATGAAATGTTTATCCAATATTTGATTATGTTTATCTGTAGTTAGTTAGATGAATTCAAGTATATAGCTTTAATAAGTTGTACTTATGTACAATTTACTTGTAGTCTTAAATTTTAAGTAATATGAATCAATAAATTATACTTTATGCATAAAAAATCGTTTTTAAGAGTTTTTGTCAGATGCTTTAAAATATAGTATAGATTTTCTTAATTAATTTTTTTTAATTATACTTTAATTTAGGTTTAGTAACAAAGAAATTTAATTTAGGTTTAATAATATAATTTTTATAAAAATAATAACTAWGTATTCTGTTAGTTATCAATGATTATCCTAATTATATTTTAGGTTTTTTATATTTAAAATGAGATGTTTATCCAATATTTGATTATGTTTATCTGCAGTTAGTTAAACGAATTCAAGTATGAAKCTTTAATAAGTTGTACTTATGCACAATTTACTTGTAATCTTAAATTTTAAGTAATATGCATCAATAAACAGTACTTTGTGCATAAAAAATCGTTTTCAAGAGTTTTTGTCAAATGCTTTATAATATAGTATAGATATAGAGTTTGTTTCAAAGGCAACTCATTGCATTTTTACAACCAATGCAACCCAATAAATTAAAATATTTATGAAAATGATGAGAATTCATTTATTATGATTTGAATATTTATAAAAGATAAATACGGTTAATTAATTATGATTAATACTTTATTTTAAGAAACAATCAAAACTTATATGAAATTATATATTTATCAAATTAAATGAACGGTTGAAATTATGTTATATTGATTATACAAATATAAAAAGTTGTATAATAAACCACTCTCTCTATACATATAAGATAGGATTGCAACAAAGCAAGGAAATAAAATATACATCAAATCTTTTGATGAATTATATACAAACCCTATAAACACAAAAACCCTATAAATATATAATTTTATAATTTATAATTATGTATTCAAGCAAAATATCAAACAAACCCTAGAAGCACAAAACCCTCCCGTTCGCCTCTTTTTCCTCCGGGATGAAGAAGCTTTCCACCACTTCCGCCGCCGATACCGCCGCCGACCTGAAACGGAAGAGGGAAGATTACGATAAAAGTGGCGGCGGCGGCGGTTCTGGTAGTGGTAAGGAGAATTTTGAGGCTGATTTTGAATTCGGGAAAGTGAAATTGGGAGATGAAGACGGGAGTAAGAAGAAGGGGAAGAAGGGTTCGAAAGTAAAGGAGTTGGAGAAAGCAAAGAAGTTGAAGGAGGCTAAGAAAGAAGATGTGGTGGTGGCAAAAAAGCATTCATGGAAGGCTGCAACTGAAAAGGCAATGGGGGTGAAGGTCCATGATGATCCAAAGCTTTTGAAGAGGAGCTTGCAGAAGGAGAAGAAGAGGCGTGARAAGAGTGCAGGGAAATGGAAAGAGAGGGAAGAGACTGTGGAGAAGATGAGGGAGGAGAAGCAAGCAAAGAGAAGAGGGAACGTAGAGGAGAGAGCCAGCCAGAAGAAGATGAGAAAGATTGCAAAGAGGGAGAAGAAGCTCATGAGGCCTGGATTCAAAGGGAGAAAAGATTTGTATAAAGCATAACTTTGTTCTTTTGTATGATGATAATTCATCAAAAGATTTGATGTACATTTTATTTCCTTGCTTTGTCGCAATCCTATTATATATATATACATATATATGTATATACATATGTATACATATGTGTATGTATACATATGTATATATGTATATATATACATATACATATATACATATATGTATAAAATGCATATATATATATATATATATATATGATATGGTTTTAGATTGCATTTTATAGATTTAAATTAGTATTAATTTTAGCTCTTGTTTTTTTTCTGTAATCGTGGGTTTTGTTCGGGTCAATTTGTGCACAACTTGATGAATCCTACGAGACCTTGAAGATAACATTTAGAAAAATCATTACTGGTCTTGACTCTAGAGAATACTTGAAATGACGATCTATTCGGAGGAGCCCCAAGGCCTAACCTTTATTAGCCCGTTGAGCTGACCCTCAAGGTAGTTTGCAACAAATTGTCCAACCAAATATGGCTCGTGCTATCGGATTTGCTTCTTGTATTAACTTTTTGGCTGACATTTCTGAAGGCTACAACTTCCATCTTTCTTACTGCTCTCTCTCAACAACAGTGGCAATTTTGGCTTTTAGGTTCTTCTTCGTCCACGGATTTGGAAACATCATCGGTTAGTGGTTTCAAGCGTAGATTTTCCCAAATGGGTACAACCATTCAATTGTAACATGAATCATGGTTGATGTATTTCGGTAGATTTTATCATTGTTTTTTTAGGTGTTTAATCCCATTTGTTGATAAAAATGTCCTTTTAAGAAATAAAATCCTAAACGAACAAAAAATTATACAAGATACATAAAACCTTGGAACTAGTACACATAAGTACTTGTTTTTTTTATTAACCGGATATCTAACCCGCTATGCAAGCCAACTAATTCCAGAGCAACCACCTGCTTTGTAGATAGCCTAGAATCACCGCATTTGAACCTTTGTGGCCACAAGGGAATTTTTATTTCTGCTTGGATTTGAACCTGAGACCTTCAGGTACTCTTGATCTTTGGAGTCAAGCTCAAACCAATCAGGCATCATCCTTGTTTTTAGAATCCTATGATTATCAAGTTTAGTTGGTATGAGACTCTAACACGTTCTTTCAATGAAGGCTAGACTGGCAAAGATGTCCCACAGTGTCGAGTCCGAAACATACTAATCCATGAAATCCAAAAATCACTTGTTTCAAGAATCCTAAGATTGATTATTGGGTATATTTGATCTCATATTCGATTCAACTGATCAAATATAATTGGGTTAAATGCATGAAATAACAACATACTTTCATAAATTTTGTTATTATAGTATTCTACTTTTGTTTTTCGTACTTTCAAATTATTTTTTATTAAGGCATTATACTTTAAAAAATCTATCCATAATGGCAAGGGGAACCTGTTACCTTTTAAACTGGTTAACCCCTTGACTTTTTTTGCTTGTGTGGCTTTAATGAGGTGATGTAGATGACACATCATTTTGATGACTTAACTAAAATAAAAATAAAAACTTATTTCAAATTATTATTAGTGATTTTTATTTTTTATTGCTATGATATGAAAAAATATTTAATTTTTTTTGACTTTTTCTTATTAAGTTGCATACAAATTAAATTTTCTAGAGTAAAATATTTCTTAAATAAATATGAAACATTATTTTCGAGATATATTTTATTTGTATAAAAGGTAACAGTTATGTTGTTTAAATAAATACATATATTTTAAAGTTCTATTTAAAATGTTAACGAAATAAATTGTGATCTACCTTTTATAAATATTATTATATTAATAAATAATTCAAAAAAATCAAATTATTTTAATATATTTATACGTCAAGTAAAAGTTTTTGAACAAATATAATATATTTTTTAAAAGATAATATTTTTTGGTAAAAAAAAAATTCTTATTTTTTTTTCAAAAAAAAAAAAAAAAAAAATTAGCGAGATAAATTGTGTTCTACTAGTTTTATTGGTATTAGTATATTAATGAATACCTTAATTTTTTTAATTCATTTAATATATTTATTAAATAACATGTAAAATATCTAAATATTAAAATTAAAAATACAATGTTTAAAAAAGAGCTAGTAGATACTATAATAAAATAATTTTGAAAGTACAATGATTAGTAAGAAAGTCATATCACTATAGTAGATGTAGACAACCTACGTGGACAATGAGGTGGCATGAAAACCTGGTATAATGTGTAAATTTAAATCAAAAGGTTACCCAATGTTATAATGGGTAAATTTTTCAAAATACAATGTTTCAATAAAAAATAGTTTGAAAATACATTACTATAATAAGAAAAACTGAAAGTATAATGTTACAATAAATAAATTTATAAAAGTAGAATGTTATTTTGGGTATTTTGGGCAATATAATTTATCAACTTTTATGTAGCCAGAGATCAACTCTTAATTCATTTCTTTTACATTAAAACATGTAAAAATATTATCATTAAAAAAATTTAATTATATGTTTACATTCTCATAATCGTATCAATCATGTAATTATAACAACATTTCAAGTATTATAGATTTGGAAATATCTACTAAATTTACAACCCCACCCATGACCATATAATTTCTATGAATACAGAACTAAGACTTCATCTCTATACAAGCAACTAAACACTTCCAAAACATCGGTTTTTCGAGTTATTAAGCCACCAACTGAGCCTCCTCGTTATCTGGGACCACGATATCGAGCCTCATCATCGGTCTATACTTCCGAGGTACCGGATCCCCTGCCTGCACACAAAGCTCAACCACAGCTGGAGCCTTCCCGTAGAACCTCTTGAGCGAACTCTTCAATGGCGGTCCTTCTAGATCCACCACANTTTATAAAATGTTATATTATTAAATCAAAAATAAATTATTTCGTTATTAAACTTAAATTAAATTATAATAAAAAAATAAATTAAAGAAATTACATAAAAAATGAGAAATTTTAAATAATTAATTTGATTAACATTGATATATTTTTTTTCAAATTTTTATGGTATCTTCAAATTTATATTTTATTAAAAAATAAAATTATTATTGTTTTCTTAAAATCTCATAAAATCGTATTATAACATCGACAGAGACAAGATACATAAAACCTTGGAACTAGTACACATAAGTACTTGTTTTTAGAATCATAAGATTATCAAGTCTAGCTGATATGAGACTCTAACACGTCCTTTCAATGAAGGCTAGACGGACAAAGATGTCCCACAGTGTCGATTCCGAAACAAACTAATCCATGAAATCCAAAAATTACTTGTTTCAAGAATCCTATGATTGATTACCGGATATATTTGATCTCATCTTCGATTCAACTAATCAAATCAAATATATTTTATCAACTTTTATGTAGCGAGATTGACTCTTAATTCATTTATTTTACATTAAAACACATAAAAATATTGTCATTAATTTGTATAAAATTTTAATTTATATATTAATAATTCAATCATTTATATGTTTATATTCTCATAATCGTATCAATCATGTAATTATAACAACATTTCAAGTATTAAAGATTAGGAAATAGCTACTAAATTTACAACCCCACCCATGACCATATAATTTCTATGAATACAAAACTAAGACTTCAATTCTATACAAACAACTAAACACTTCCAAAACATCGGTTTTTCGAGTTATTAAGCGACCAACGGAGCCTCCTCGTTATCTGGGACCACGATATCGAGCCTCATCATCGGTCTATACTTCCGAGGTACCGGAGCCCCTGCCTGCACACAAAGCTCAACCACAGCTGGAGCCTTCCCGTAGAACCTCTTGAGCGAACTCTTCAACGGCGGTCCTTCTAGATCCACCACATGCCACACGTAATTTGGCGGGAAAACCTCGTCCGCCACCGCATCCTGCCACCCATGCTTTCCGTCTCTCCATTGGTGCTTAAACTCTCCGCAAAGCTTCGCGTTGTGGCCCCACGGTCCCACATGGACCTCCGAGCAGTACCCACACGCCTTCACCGTGTACTTCTTCATAAGTTTCATCACACCCCATTTCACTTTCTCGTATGCGTTCAGTGTCGCCTGAGCAATTCCGACCACATCGGAGTCTGCTGGCGGCGGGAACCGCTCAAGAGCCCGGTACGTGTCGTGTTCCAATGTCTCAGCGGAGTGCGGTGCCTTGGGTGGCGGCTCAACGATTTCACCTCGGTCGATCACTTTCTTTCCCATCATTCGGATAGGCTGGGTCCTTCGTCGTGAAGGGTATTCTGGTAATTCCACACCGGCTTGGATGCAGAGCTCCACAACAGCCGGGATTCTATCGTGGTTGAAYCTTKTTTCGTGTTTGACTCGGGTACCAAAAGGATCATATTGATGATATGACTCAATTGGGAGAAGGATGTCGTTAATCGAACCTTTGACCCATAAATGGAAGCTTCTCCAATTCGCATTCTTTGGACCATGGCAATTCTGAATGTCATGGCCGGTTTGACCCACGTGAACCTCCAAGCACTCTCTGCATAAGAACAACCCGAAAGCAACATTAAAAAAAGCTGGCAACATCTAATAGAAAGGCTATTGATGTCAGAATTACTTGAAAGTATTTTATATGTTAATCCTTAAAGTCCCAAATATGTATATGAAACAATACCTTAAATCCTAGTCTTAAATGAAAAAAGTCATATGAAACAATCATTACGATTGGTTCCCATGGATGGATTTGTAATCTTTTTATGGTTCTCACATAATTATCCCCATATAACCTAATATATGCATCTTTAACCTGCAAAGAAAGTTTAACATACAAACATGAACCGAGCGAAATCATCAGTCAACTTAAGTTGACAACAACGTTGATAAATGAACTTAAAATTTGAGATGATATTATTGCGATTGCAATGCTTAAAGTACCTGGCGGCATTTGTCAAAGAAGAGGGACAAAAGTCTATCATTGATCCGCATAGATTGATAACTCCATCTATAGGCAATCTGGCTTGCGATACACTGCCGAGGTCAGGAAAATGATCCGAGCATAGTTGGGGACGAGCCACCTAAATTTAGAACATGCTCCATGTTTTTCACAACTCTTCCGTCCAAAGTTTCATCGTATTACCAAAAAGGGAAACTAAGAACTCGTCCATCTAGAAGGTTACATGCTATAGAAAGGTATTTCTTCCATGCCAAAATAAATGTCTACAATGAAAAAGGTACACAATTCTAAAAATGTGTAATTATTAAACCTTTTACTTAATGACAATTGTACCCTTGGTAACAAGGTAGAATTGGAAAGTAGACACTTAGTTTAGGACAAATTAAAATAGAAATGTGAACACTTATTTCGGGACAAACTAAACTAGAAATATGAACACTTATTTTGGCACAAACTAAAGCTGATATATGAACACTTATTCTTGGAAAGAGGGAGTAAATATCAACAATCTGTAAGCAACATTCACTCCGTAACAAGAAATCTAATGATATGAGATAGAAAAGAATGATATATGACTCAAGTCGAGAGCTCTAACTGTTCTCTGGACAAATGTACTCATTGAAGCGTAAGCCATGCATATAAGAACAACCAACTAAAAGCAAGATACACATTGCCTATTTTAGGTGTGTGTAGCACAGTATTGTCAATTTTAAAAGCTTTTAAAAAAAAAATGTATGCTGTTAATCGCACCGCTATAGCGGTGTATCGCGGTTCGTAGTTGCAAAATAGCAGGGGAAATCGTAGTGCTAGCTAGTTGTCCGGCATTCTAGCTCGCTCTAGAACTCGACTATTTTCTTGTCCTGCAGTGCGCAGCCTTCCATGAATGCAATCTCCGCTGTAATTCTTCGTAAGTAAGAGACCTATTACCGGTTTCCCCGTCGAAATTGGTAACCGACTTCACTTTAATCTCCATTTCCTCCTCTTCTTCATCGTCATCATCATCTTCTTCATCCGAATCCTCATTCTTACCGACGATCTTTTTTAGGAGATCTAGGGTGGTTGTTTGTGCTTTCTCGGGGTCGAGGCGATCGCGGCGGGATTTCTTGATGTTTTCTCGTGTTTGTTGTTTAAGGGAGGCCTTTTTACCTTTACTGAGGCCTTGGAACCAGGGTTTTGAATCTTCGTCGGTGGGAAGGTAGAATTTTGCAGGGATCAATTCGATTAGCTTGTCGAAGAACTGATCGTGGTCATGGATTAAGGTTTTCAGGTCGGCGGCGGCGGCGGCGGTATCAACGGCGGCGGAAGTGGTGGAAAGATTCTTCATCGCGGTGGAAAAACAGGCGAACCGGAGGGTTTTGTGTTTCTAGTGTTTTGTATTTCTAGGGTTTGTGTGATATTTATAGGGTTTGTATGATGATAATTCATCAAAAGATTTGATGTATATTTTATTTCCTTGCTTTTTATAATCTTATATCTTAGATAAAAATAATTAAATACAAGATAAATATATTATTTTAAATATTAAAAAATTTAAAATATTATTAAGATAATCATTGAGTTTTAATATAATATTTAATTATTATTTTTATAAAATATTAATATAAATTAGAATAAATATGGACCGGTTACGGTTCAACAATTTGGGATCAGTTAATTTTTTTATGGAATTGCAAAGTTTGACACAAGACGAGTTACGCTGTAATCAATATAGAGAACATAGCTTATTGTCTCATATTTAGCGTGACATGAAATAGAACAAAAACTCAATGTTCCATGTTTGATGTGACAAGAAACAGGGTCAAGGATAAGGACTGAGATTGGGTGGGAGAAGGTTAGACAGAAAAAACTGGTTGGGTTAAATACATGAAATATCAATTTATTTTCACAAATTTTCTTATTGTAATATTCTATTTTCAATTTTTTTTATTACAACATTATACTTTCAATTTATTTTTTATTAAAGTATAAAATATTTACTTATTATAGCAATGGGTAACTTTTTTATTTGAATTAAGGTGAAATAACATGTGTTTTACCAAGTTTCTATGGCATGTCATTGTTCCCGTGCAACATATTGAAGACTGACATTTCTTATTACAACATTATATTTCATTGTATGTTACAAAAATTAAATTTACGTATTATTTAATAAATATATTAAAAAATCTAAATTATTTAGTAATATAATAATATTAAAAAGACTTATACATCACAATTTATCTCGTTAATATTTAATAAATGTTAAAAATGTATTTTTTAAACAAAGAAACTAATTTTTTTTACAAACAATATATTTATCTTGATAACATATTTGTTTTAAAAAAATTAATTTGATATATTATTTAGTAAATATATTAAATTAATTAGAAATTTTTTAAATTATTTACTAATATAACAATATTTAAAATATTTATAAAACATACTAGAAGGATACTCGCACAATGCAGCGAAATATATATCTTCATTTTATTGTTTTGTTTTGTTGTTTGTCTCTGTTGATATAATACGATTTATGTAGTTTTGAGAAAAAGATAATGTTTTTACGATTTAATGAGGTAATTTATTTTTCGCTTAACAATAAAATTATATAATTAGAACTCATTGATTGTCCTAATTATATCTTAGATTTTTTATAAAACAAGCAATATACATCGCCCGTTATACTATGGAAGTTGGCCATGTTCGAAGTCCTTACCTTAACCTTAAGAAAAGGGATGCCAAAAGGCAAGACTATCGAGTAAATAATATTTAAGTATTTGAAAAATATGTTTTAAACTATCAAATTTTTATAAAAAAAATTCCAAAATTATATCATAAAAAAAGTACTTATTAAAATTTGTGGTTGACTCTTAGGGTGCGTTTGGTTTGCAGGAATGGAATGGAATTGGAGGGATTTGGATTTAAAATCCATTCCAATCCTGTGTTTGGTTTGTAGGATTGATAAAATTTAAAATCCTGGGATTCATTAACAATCCCGTGACCTGTGGATTTTAGAATCCTTTGAAAGGACACGAGTTTTGTAAAATCATTTCCATGGGATTCCAAATCCTGCCCTAGGTCACGTCTCCATCGCATCCTCCATTTTCATCCCTGACCATCTCCTCCAGTCTCTAACATTGCTGTCTCCTCCAACCTCAAACATCGCCGGCTCCGTAGCTTTCTCCCACGATGGCCGTCTCCGGCTCCGTCGCTTTCTCCCACCGTGGTCGTCTCCATCTCTGTCGCTTTCTCCCACCGTGGTCGTCTCCATCGCCGAAGACAGGTAATTTCTACTTACTTCGATTTCTGTTACGACTTCACAATACGATTAATGTTCTGATTTGTACTTCGATTTCTGCATATTGTACTTCGATTTCTGCATATTTTGTTCCGATTTGTACTTCAAATACATAAGGGTACTTCATATTCTGTTCCGATTTAGTTCATATGCTGTTCCGATTAATGTTCCGATTTGTACTTCATATTCTGTTCCGATTTGTACTTCACAGGTAAACATTTGAATAAACAACAGCTTAATCATTCAAAATATGAAAATTTATTTGGTTGTTTTTTGAACTCTTCTTTTTTAATTGCTATACATCAGTGGGATAACATGCATTTCAACCATAAGGTTGCTGTTAAGGATCAAAACAAAATGGTAGTTGTTGTTGTGCTTATGATGGTCAATGGAAGTTGGTGGATTCTATGTTGTGATATGATCAAAGAAGGGCTGCTGGTGTTAATAATCAAACAAAATCAGCTTTGCAGTTCTAAACTCTTATATATTTGTATGTACTTGCATTTTTTCCCCCTGTTTGCACCAGATGAAGGGGTGTTTTTATATGTTTTTCATGCTCACAACATCTAAATTTGATATACAAGAGACCCTTGCATCATGTGGATGGTTGTTTGATCCAAATGCTTACTGCTTAATTGTTTTCACATTGTGCCTCATCAATTCTTAGTCAAGTTGGAATGCATGGTCTAATAATGGCAACAAAATGGGAGGAATTTCATGGATCAAACATTTTCCATAGTTTATGATGATGGCATTGGGAAAATAGGTAACATAAGATTAAAAAATAGGAAGAATTTTATGGTTGAAGTAAGAAGATCATTAAATTTATATTGGCTTMTGTTAAAGTTTATGTTAATATATCTTTACTTTCTTTCTTGTTCCTTCTTCAAGTCTCCATATCATCATTATTTTCAGCTATACCATCCAATAGTTACTTTAAATTGCAGTCACAAGTCACAATTGCCGTTTATGYTAAAGTTTGCACACAACATAATAAGATACTCAAGAGAGTATATGTTTAACAATTTAGCATCAATGAGAGTATATGTTTAACAATTTGGGAAATTGAACAGGAAATGGATCGACTTAGTTTAAGAAGACGTTTACATAGGCAAAGGATTTAGTAATGCAGACGTTGGCCCAACGGGTGAAGTTTAAAGCAATTTCATTGATAAGAGACGATCCTGAAAAGATGAACACGTTTTGGGATTTGCAAGAAGCGGATAGGGAAGCTTATGTTGATTGGATTTTAAATGAAGCGGATAGGTGAACACGTTTTGGGATTTGGTGGGTAGATGTATGGTTTTGAAAGAACAAGTTGGTAGTTAAATTTGTATTTTGGATTACCGAGTTTGGTGGATAAATATGTATTTTGGATGAAAATGTTTGTTGTTAAATATGCATTTTGAATGAAAATGTTTGTTGATTAAATATGCATTTTGGATGAAAAAATTTGATTGTTAAATTTTTAGGTTTGTTGGTTAAATAGATAGGTTTAAAAAAATGAAAGAGATTTGGTGATTAAAATAATTACAAAAAGAAATCCAAATCCAAATCCTACAAACCAAACAGAGGAATGGATTTCAAATCCAATCCAAATCATGCAAACCAAACACAGGAATGGATTTTAAATCCAATCCAATCCAAATCCCATGGAATCCAAATCCCTCAAGGGAATCCAAATTCATCAGAAACATTTCTGCAAACCAAACGCACCCTTATATTCATGATTCATCTCTTACCGTATAAATATTTTGTAATTTAGAGTCCCAATGCCATTTTGCATGGTTGGCTTGTAGTTGGATTTGAATACCAAAAGCACAAAAATGACACCTATTTGAATTTTTTTATCTTTAATCGATGATTAAATATGTATTATAATAAAACTAGAAGGGTACTCGTAGAATACATCGAGATACATTTTAATTTTAATGGTTTTTTTATCTCTATCGATGTTATAATATGGTTTTAAGAAAGCGATAATGCTTTTGTTTTGAAATAAAATATAAATACGAAGATATCTTTAAAAATATTGATATTGGTATCAAACTAACTATTTAATTTTTTTTTTTGTGTATTTCTTTAATTCATTTTTTTTGTTTAATAATATAATTTTTATATTATAGTATTTAAGTATTTTGTTAGTAGTTAATGGTTATCCTAATTGTATTTTAGATTTTTAATATTTAAAATAAGATGTTTATCCTCTATTWKATTATGTTTATTTGCAGTTAGTTACACAAATTCAAACATGAAGCTTTAATAAGTTGTACTTACGCACATTTCATATTCCTAAATACATTTTATTCTGCCCACCTAGAGTGTATTTAGTAAGTACAACTTATTAAAACTAAATACTTAAGTTTGTCTAACTAACTGCAGATAAACATAATCAAATATTGGATAAACATCTTATTATAAATATAAAAAATCTAAAATATAATTAGGATAATCATTGATAACTAACAGAATACTTAGTTATTATCTTTATAAGAAATTATATTATTAAACCTAAATTAAATTTTTTTTGTTACTAAACCTAAATTATCTATACTATATTATAAAACATTTGACAAAAACTCTTAAAAACGGTTTTTTAGAATTCTATGATTATCAAGTCTAGCTGATATGAGGATCTAACACGTCCTCTCAATGAAGGCTAGACGGGCAAAAATGTCCCAGAGTGTCGAGTCCGAAACAAACTAATCCATGAAATCCAAAAATTACTTGTTTCAAGAATCCTAGGATTGATTACTGCATACTAGAAGAGTATTCGCGCAATGCAGCGAGACACATCTCGATTTTAATGTTCTATTTTATTATTTGTCTCTGTCGATGTTATGATACGATTTTATATGCTTTTAAGAAAGAAATAATGATTTTATTTTTAAATAAAATATAAATTTGAAAAAAATATATCAATGTTAATATCAAATCTAACTATTTAAAAAATCTCATTTTTATATAATTTCTTCAATTTTTTTTAATTATAACTAATTTAAATTTAATAATAAAATAATTTATTT